GGATGATGGAAAGCGAGAGAACGGGGCGGGGTGATGGAAAGCGGGAGAACGGGGCGGGGTGATGGAAAGAGGGAGAATTGGGCGGGGTGATGGAAAGCGAGAGAATGGGGCGGGGTGATGGAAAGTGGGAGAATGGGGCGGGGTGATGGAAAGCGGGAGAATGGGGCGGGGGTGATGGAAAGCAGGAGAATGTGGCGGGGTGATGGAAAGCGGGAGAATGGGGTGGGGTTATGGGAAGCGGGAGAATGGGGCGGGGTGATGGAAAGCGGGAGAATGGGGCGGGGTGATGGAAAGAGGGAGAATGGGGCGGGGTGATGGAAAGCGGGAGAATGGGGCGGGGTGATGGAAAGCAGGAGAATGGGGCGGGGTGATGGAAAGGGGGAGAATGGGGTAAGGTGATGGAGAGCGGCAGAATGGGGCGCGGTGATGGAAGGCGGGAGAATGGGGCGGGGTGATGGAAAGTGGGAGAATGGGCGGGGTGATGGAAAGCGGGAGAATCGGGCGGGGTGATGGAAAGCGGGAGAATGGGGCGGGGTGATGGAAAGAGGGAGAATGGGACGGGGTGATGGAAAGCTGGAGAATGGGGCGTGGTGATGGAAAGCGGGAGAATGGGGCGGGGTGATGGAAAGCGGAAGAATGGGGCGGGGTTATGGAAGGTGGGAGAATGGGGCGGGGTGATGGAAGGAGGGAGAATGGGGCGGGGTGATGGAAAGCAGGTGAATGGGGCGGGGTGATGGAAAGCGTGAGAATAGGGCGGTGTGATGGATAGCGGGAGAATGGGGCAGGGTGATGGAAAGAGGGATAATGAGGCGCGGTGATGGAAAGCGGGAGAATGTGGCGGGGTGATGGAAAGAGGGAGAATGGGGAGGAGTGATGGAAAGAGGGAGAATTGGGCGGGGTGATGGAAAGAGGGAGAATGGTGCGGGGTGATGGAAAGCGAGAGAATGGGGCTGGGTGATGGAAAGCAGGAGAATGGGGCTGGGTGATGGAAAGCGGGAGAATGGGGCAGGGTGATGGAAAGAGGGAGAATAGGGCGGGGGTGATGGAAAGCGGGAGAATGGGGCGGGATGAAGGAAAGCGAGAGAATGGGGCGGGGTGATGGAAAGCGGGAGAATAGGGTGGGGTGATGGAAAGAGGGAGAATGGGGCGGGGTGATGGAAAGAGGGAGAATAGGGCGGGGTTATGGAAAGAGGGAGAATGGGGCGGGGTGATGAAAAAGCGGGAGAATGGGGCAGGGTAATGGAAAGCGGGAGAATGGGGCGGGGTGATGGAAAGAGGGAGAATGGGGCGGGCTGATGGAAACAGGGAGAATGGGGCGGGGTGATGGAAAGCGGAAGAATGGGGCGGGGTGATTGAAAGCGGGAGAATGGGGCGGGGTGATGGAAAGCGGGAGAATGGAGCGGGGTGATGGAGAGAGGGAGAATGGAGCAGGGAGATGAAAAGAGGGAGAATGGGGCGGGTTGATGGAAAGCGGAAGAATGGGGCGGGGTGCTGGAAAGCGGGAGAATGGGGCGGGGTGATGGAAAGCGGGAGAATGGGTCAGGGTGATGGAAAGAGGGAGATTAGGGCGGGGTGATGGAAAGAGGGAGAATGGGGCGGGTTGATGGAAAGCGGGAGAATGGGGCGGGGTGATGGAAAGCGGGAGAATGGGGCGGGGTGATGAAAAGGGGGAGAATGAGGCGGGGTGATTGAAAGCGGGAGAATGGGGTGGGGTGATGGAAAGAGGGAGAATGGGGCAGGGTGATGGAAAGAGGGAGAATGGGGCGGGGTGATTGAAAGAAGGACAAAGGGGCGGGGTGATGGAAAGCGGGAGAATGGGGCGGGGTGATGGAAAGCGGGAGAATGAGGCGGGGTGATGGAAAGAGGGAGAATGGCTTGGGGTGATGGAAAGCGGGAGAATGGGGCGGGGTGATGGAAAGCGGGAGAATGGGGCGGGGTGATGGAAAGAGGGAGAATGGGGAGGAGTGATGGAAAGAGGGAGAATTAGGCGGGGTGATGGAAAGCGGGAGAATGGAGCTGGGTGATGGAAAGCAGGAGAATGGGGCGGGGTGATAGAAAGCGGGAGAATGGGGCGGGGTGATGGAAAGAGGGAGAATGGGGCGGGGTGATGGAAAGAGGGAGAATGGGGAGGGGTGATGGAAAACGGGAGAATGACTGGCGTGATGGAAAGAGAGAGAACGGGGCGGGGTGATGGAAAACGGGAGAACGGGGCAGGGTGATGGAAAGCGGGAGAACGGGGTGGGGTGATGGGAAGCGGGAGAACGGCACGGGGTGATGGAAAGTGGGAGAATGGGGCGGGGTGATGGAAAGCGGGAGAATGGGGCGGGGTGATTGAAAGCGGGAGAATGGGGCGGGGTGATGGAAATAGGGAGAATGGGGCAGGGTGATGGAAACAGGGAGAATAGGGCAGGGTGATGGAAAGAGGGATAATGTGGCGGGGTGACGGAAAGAGGGAGAATGGGGCGGGGTGATGGAAAGAGGGAGAATGGGGCGGGGTGATGGAAAGAGGGAGAATGGGGAGGGGTGATGGAAGTAGGGAGAATTGGGCGGGGTGATGGAAAGCGGGAGAATGGAGCGGTGTGATGGAAAGCGGGAGAATGGGGCGGGGTGATGGAAAGAGGGAGAATGGGGCGGGGTGATGGAAAGCGGGAGAATGGGCAGGGTGATGGAAAGCAGGAGAATGGGGCGGGGTGATGGAAAGCGGGAGAATGGGGCGGGGTGATGGAAAGCGGGAGAATGGGGCGAGGTGATGGAAAGAAAGAGAATCGGGCGGGGTGATGGAAAGCGGGAAAATGGGGCGGGTTGATGGAAAGCGGGAGAATGGGGCGGGGTGATGGAAAGCGGGAGAATGGGGCGGGGTGATGGAAAGCGGGAGAATGGGGAGGGGTGATGGAAAGCGGGAGAATGGGGCGGGGTGATGGATAGAGGGAGAACGGGGCGGGGTGATGGAAAGAGGGAGAATGGGGCGGGTTGATGGAAAGCGGGAGAATGGGGCGGGGTGATGTAAAGAGGGAGAATGGGGCTGGGTGATGGAAGGCTGGAGAATCGGGCGGGGTGATGGAAAGAGGGAGAATGGGGCGGGGTGATGGAAGGATGGAGAATGGGGCGGGGTGATGGAAGGCGGGAAAATGGGGCGGGGTGATGGAAAGAGGAAGAAGGGGGCGGGGTGATGGAAAGAGGAAAAATTGGGCGGGGTGATGGAAAGCAAGAGAATGGAGCGGGGTGGTGGAAAGCGGGAGAATGGGGCGGGGTGATGGAAAGAGGGACAATGGGGCGGGGTGATGGAAAGCGGGAGAATGGGGCGGGGTGATGGAAAGCGGGAGAATGGGGCGGGGTGATGGAAAGAGGGAGAATGGGGCGGGGTGATGGAAAGCAGGAGAATGGGGCGGGGTGATGGAAAGCGGGAGAATGGGGCGGGGTGATGGAAAGCGGGAGAATGGGGCGGGGTGATGGAAAGCGGGAGAATGGGGCGAGGTGATGGAAAGAGGGAGACTGGGGCGGGGTGATGGAAAGCGGGAGAATGGGGCGGGGTGATGGAAAGCTTGAGAATGGGGCGGGGTGATGGAAAGCGGGAGAATGGGGCGGGGTGATGGAAAGCGGGAGAATGGGGCGGGGTGATGGAAAGAGGGAGAATGGGGCGGGGTGATGGAAAGAGGGATAATGGGGAGGGGTGATGGAAAGAGGGAGAACTGGGCGGGGTGATGGAAAGCGGGAGAATGGAGCGGGGTGATGGAAAGCGGGAGAATGGGGCGGGGTGATGGAAAGAGGGACAATGGGGCGGGGTGATGGAAAGCGGGAGAATGGGGCGGGGTGATGGAAAGCGGGAGAATGGGGCGGGGTGATGGAAAGAGGGAGAATGGGTCGGGGTGATGGAAAGCAGGAGAATGGGGCGGGGTGATGGAAAGAGGGAGAATGGGGCGGGGTGATTGAAAGAGGGATAATGGGGAGGGGTGATGGAAAGAGGGAGAACTGGGCGGGGTGATGGAAAGCGGGAGAATGGAGCGGGGTGATGGAAAGCGGGAGAATGGGGTGGGGTGATGGAAAGCGGGAGAATGGGGCGGGGTGATGGAAAGCGGGAGAATGGAGCGGGTTGATGGAAAGAGGGAGAATAGGGAGGGGTGATGGAAAGAGGGAGAATGGGGCGGGGTGATGGAAAGCGGGAGAGTGGGGCGGGGTGATGGAAAGCGGGAGAATGGGGAGGGGTGATGGAAAGAGGGAGAATTGGGCGGGGTGATGGAATGCGGGAGAATGGAGCGAGGTGATGGAAAGCGGGAGAATGGGGCGGGGTGATGGAAAGCGGGAGAATGGGGCGGGGTGATGGAAACAGGGAAAATGGGGCGTGGTGATGGAAAGCGGGAGAATGGGGTGGTGTGATGGAAAGCGGGAGAATGGGGCGGGGTGATGGAAAGAGGGAGAATGGGGCTGGGTGATGGAAAGCGGGAGAATGGGGCGGGGTGATGGAAAGCGGGAGAATGGGGCGGGGTGATGGAAAGAGGGAGAATGGGGCGGGGTGATGGAAAGAGGGAGAATGGGAAGGGGTGTTGGAAAGAGGGAGAACTGGGCGGGGTGATGGAATGCGGGAGAATGGAGCAGGGTGATGGAAAGCGGGAGAATGGGGCGGGGTGATGGAAAGAGGGAAAATGGGGCGTGACGATGGAAAGCGGGAGAATGGGGTGGTGTGATGGAAAGCCGGAGAATGGGGCGGGGTGATGGAAAGAGGAAGAATTGGGCGGGGTGATGAAAAGCAAGAGAATGGAGCGGGGTGGTGGAAAGTGAGAGAATGGGGCGGGGTGATGGAAAGAGGGACAATGGGGCGGGGTGATGGAAAGCGGGAGAATGGGGCGGGGTGATGGAAAGCGGGAGAATGGGGCGGGGTGATGGAAAGAGGGAGAATGGGGCGGGGTGATGGAAAGCGGGAGAATTGGGCGGGGTGATGGAAAGAGGGAGAATGGGGCGGGGTGATGGAAAGAGGGATAATGGGGAGGGGTGATGGAAAGAGGGAGAACTGGGCGGGGTGATGGAAAGCGGGAGAATGGAGTGTGGTGATGGAAAGCGGGAGAACGGGGTGGGGTGATGGAAAGCGGGAGAATTGAGCGGGGTGATGGAAAGCGGGAGAATGGAGCGGGGTGATGGAAAGAGGGAGAATAGGGCGGGATTGAACACACGGTGGGTTGAACACACGGTGGGTTGAACACACGGTGGGTTGAACACACGATAGGTTGAACACAGGATAGGTTGAACACACGGTGTGTTGAACACACGGTGGGTTCAACACACGGTGGGTTCAACACACGGTGGGTGGAACACACGGTGGGTGAAACACATGGTGGGTTGAACATACGGTGGGTTGAACACACGTTGGGTTGAACACATGGTGGGTTGAACACACGGTGGGTTGAACACACGGTGGGTTGAACACACGATAGGTTGAGCACACGGTGGGTTGAACACACGGTGTGTTGAACACACGGTGGGTGGAACACACGGTGGGTTGATCACACCGTGGGTGGAACACACGGTGGGTTGATCACACGGTGGGTTCAACACACAGTTCGTTGAACACACGGTGGGTGGAACACACGGTGGGTTGAACACATGGTGGGTTGAACACACGGTGGGTTGATCACACGGTGGGTGGATCACACAGTGGGTTGAACACACGGTGGGTTGAACACACGGTGGATTGAACACACGGTGGGTTGAAGACACTGTAGATTCAACACATGGTGGGTTCAACAAACGGTGCGTTGAACACACGGTGGGTGGAACACACGGTGGGTTGAACACACGGTGGGTTGAACACACGGTGGGCTGATCACACGTTTGGTTGAACACATGGTGGGTTCAACACACGGTGGGTTGAACACACGGTGGGTTGAACACACGGTGGGTTTAACACACGGTGGGTTGAACACACGGTGGGTTGAACACACGGTAGGTTGAACACACGGTGGGTTGAACATACGGTGGGTTCAACACACGGTGCGTTGAACACATGGTGGGTTGAACACACGATAGGTTGAACACACGGTGGGTTGAACACACGGTGGGTTGAACACAAGGTGGGTTGAACACACGGTGGGTTCAACACACGGTGCGTTGAACACACGGTGGGTGGAACACACGGTGGGTTGAACACATGGTGGGTTGAACACACGGTGGGTTGAACACACGATAGGTTGAACACACGGTGGGTTCAACACACGGTGGGTTGAACACATGGTGGGTTCAACACACGGTGGGTTGAACACATGGTGGGTTGAACATAAGGTGGGTTGATCACACAGTGGGTGGAACACACGGTGGGTTGAACACACGGTGGGTTGAACACACGATAGGTTGAGCACACGGTGGGTTGAACACACGGTGGGTTCAACACACGGTGGGTTGAACACAAGGTGGGTTGAACACACGGTGGGTTGATCACATGGTGGGTTGAACACACAGTGGGTTGAACACACGGTGGGTTGAACACACGATAGGTTGAACACACGGTGGGTTGAACACACGGTGGGTTGAAAACACGGTGGGTTGAACACACGGTAGGTTTAAGACACGGTGGGTTGAACACACGGTGCATTGAACATTCGGTGGGTGGAACACACGGTGGGTTGAACACACGGTGGGTTCAAAACACGGTGGGTTCAACACACGGTGGGTTCAACACACGATGCGTTGAACACACGATGAGTGGAACACACGGTTGGTTGAACACACAGTGGGTTGAACAAAAGGTGGGTTGATCACACGGTGGGTGGAACACACGGTGGGTTGAACACACGGTGGGTTGAACACACGATAGGTTGAACACACGGTGGGTTGAACACACGGTGGGTTCAACACACGGTGGGTTCAACACACGGTGGGTTGAACACACGGTGGGTTCAACACACGGTGGGTGGAACACACGGTGGGTTGAACACATGGTGGGTTGAACATACGGTGGGTTGATCACACGGTGGGTGGAACACACGGTGGGTTGAACACACGGTGGGTTGAACACACGATAGGTTGAGCACACGGTGGGTTGAACACACGGTGCGTTGAACACACGGTGGGTTGAACACAAGGTCGGTTGAACACACGGTGGGTTGATCACATGGTAGGTGAAACACACGGTGGGTTGAACACACGTTTGGTTGAACACACGATAGGTTGAACACACGGTGGGTTGAACACACGGTGGGTTGAACACACGGTGGGTTCAACACACGGTAGGTTTAAGACACGGTGGGTTGAACACACGGTGCATTGAACATTCGTTGGGTGGAACACACGGTGGGTTGAACACACAGTGGGTTCAAAACACGGTGGGATCAACACACGGTGGGTTCAACACATGATGCGTTGAAGACATGGTGGATGGAACACACGGTGGGTTGAACACACGGTGGGTTGAACACACGGTGGGTTGAACACACGGTGGGTTGAATACATGGTGCGTTGAACACACGGTGGGTTGAACACACGGTGGGTTGAACACAGGATAGGTTGAACACACGGTGGGTTCAACACACGGTGGGTTCAACACACGGTGGGTTCAACACACGGTGGGTGGAACACACGGTGGGTTGAACACATGGTGGGTTGAACATACGGTGGGTTGAACACACGGTGGGTTGAACACATGGTGGGTTGAACACACGGTGGGTTGAACACACGGTGGGTTGAACACACGATAGGTTGAGCACACGGTGGGTTGAACACACGGTGTGTTGAACACACGGTGGGTGGAACACACGGTGGGTTGAACACATGGTGGGTTGAACACACGGTGGGTTGATCACACCGTGGGTGGAACACACGGTGGGTTGAACACACGGTGGGTTGATCACACGGTGGGTTCAACACACAGGGCGTTGAACACACGGTGGGTGGAACACACGGTGGGTTGAACACATGGTGGGTTGAATACACGGTGGGTTGATCACACGGTGGCTCGATCACACAGTGGGTTGAACACACGGTTGGTTGAACACACGGTGGATTGAACACACGGTGGGTTGAAGACACTGTGGATTCAACACACGGTGGGTTCAACACACGGTGCGTTGAACACACGGTGGGTGGAACACACGGTGGGTTGAACACACGGTGGGTTGAACACAAGGTGGGCTGATCACACGTTTGGTTGAACACATGGTAGGTTCAACACACGGTGGGTTGAACACACGGTGGGTTGAACACACGGTGGGTTTAACACACGGTGGGTTGAACACACGGTGGGTTGAACACACGGTAGGTTGAACACACGGTGGGTTGAACACACGGTGGGTTGAACATACGGTGGGTTCAACACACGGTGCGTTGAACACATGGTGGGTTGAACACACGATAGGTTGAACACACGGTGGGTTGAACACACGGTGGGTTCAACACACGGTGGGTTGAACACAAGGTGGGTTGAACACACGGTGGGTTCAACACACGGTGCGTTGAACACACGGTGGGTGGAACAGACGGTGGGTTGAACACATGGTGGGTTGAACACACGGTGGGTTGAACTCACGATAGGTTGAACACACGGTGGGTTCAACACACGGTGGGTTCAACACATGGTGGGTTCAACACACGGTGGGTGCAACACACGGTGGGTTGAACACATGGTGGGTTGAACATAAGGTGGGTTGATCACGTAGCGGGTGGAACACACGGTGGGTTCAACACACGGTGGGTTCAACACACGGTGGGTTGAACACACGGTAGGTTTAAGACAAGGTGGGTTGAACACACGGTGCATTGAACATTCGGTGGGTGGAGCACACGGTGGGTTGAACACACGATGGGTTCAAAACACGGTGGGTTCAACACACGGTGGGTTCAACACACGATGCGTTGAACAAGCGGTGGGTGGAACACACGGTTGAACATACAGTGGGTTGAACAAAAGGTGGGTTGATCACACGGTGGGTGGAACACACGGTGGGTTGAACACACGGTGGGTTGAACACACGATAGGTTGAACACATGGTGGGTTGAACACACGGTGCGTTCAACACACGGTGGGTTGAACACACGGTGGGTTCAACACACGGTCGGTGGAACACACGGTGAGTTGAACACATGGTGGGTTGAACATACGGTGGGTTGATCACACGGTGGGTGGAACACACTGTGGGTTGAACACACGGTGGGTTGAACACACGATAGGTTGAGCACACCGTGGATTGAACACACGGTGCATTGAACACACGGTGGGTGTAACACACGGTGGGTTGAACACATGGTGGGTTGAACACACGGTGGGTTGATCACACCGTGGGTGGAACACACGGTGGGTTGAACACACGGTGGGTTGATCACACGGTGGGTTGAACACACGGTGCGTGGAACACACGGTGGGTTGAACACATGGTGGGTTGAACATACGGTGGGTTGATCACACGGTGGGTTGATCACACGGTGGGTTGATCACACGGTGGGTTTAAGACACGGTGGGTTGAATACACGGTGGGTTGAACACACGGTGGGTTGAACACACGGTGGGTTGAACACACGGTGGGTTGAACACACGGTGGGTTGAACAAACGGTGCGTTGAACACACGGTGGGTGGAACACACGGTGGGTTGAACACACAGTGCATTAAACACACGGTGGGTTGAACACACGGTGGGTTGAACACACGATAGGTTGAATACACGGTGGGTTGAACACACGGTGGGTTCAACACACGGTGGGTTCAACACACGGTGGGTTCAACATACGGTGGGTGGAACACACGGTGGGTTTAAGACACGGTGGGTTGAACACACGGTGGGTTGAACACACGGTGGGTTGAACACACGGTGGGTTGAACACACGGTGCGTTGAACACACCGTGGGTGGAACATACGGTGGGTTGAACACCCGGTGCGTTAAACACACGGTGGGTTGAACACACGGTGGGTTGAACACACGATAGGTTGAACACACGGTGGGTTGAACACACGGTGGGTTCAACACACGGTGGGTTCAACACACGGTGGGTTCAACATACGGTGGGTGGAACACACGGTGGGTTGAACATACGGTGGGTTGATCACACATTGGGTGGAACACACGGTGGGTTGAACACACGGTGGGTTGAACACACAATAGGTTGAGCACACGGTGGGTTGAACACACAGTGTGTTGAACACACGGTGGGTGGAACACACGGTGGATTGAACACATGGTGGGTTGAACACACGGTGGGTTGATCACACCATGGGTGGAACACACGGTGGGTTGAAAACACGGTGGGTTGATCACACGGTGGGTTGAACACACGGTGGGTGGAACACACGGTGGGTTGAACACATGGTGGGTTGAACATACGGTAGGTTGATCACACGGTGGGTTGATCACACGGTGGGTTGATCACACGGTGGGTTGAACACACGGTGGGTTGAACACACGGTGGGTTGAACACACGGTGGGTTGAACACACTGTGGGTTGAACACACGGTGGGTTGAACACACGGTGGGTTGAACACACGGTGCGTTGAACACACGGTGGGTTGAACACACGGTGGGTTGAACACTCGGTGCATTGAACACACGGTGGGTTGAACACAAGGTGGGTTGAACACACGGTCAGTTCAACACACGATAGGTTGAACACACGGTGGGTTGAACACATGGTGGGTTGAACACACAGTGGGTTGAACACACGGTAGGTTTAAGACACGGTGGGTTGAACACACGGTGCATTGAACATTCGTTGTGTGGAACACACGGTGGGTTGAACACACAGTGGGTTCAAAACACGGTGGGATCAACACACGGTGGGTTCAACACATGATGCGTTGAAGACACGGTGTATGGTACACACGGTGGGTTGAACACACAGTGGGTTGAACAAAAGGTGGGTTGATCATACGGTGGGTGGAACACACGGTGGGTTGAACACACGATAGGTCGAACACACGGTGGGTTGAACACACGGTGGGTTCAACACATGGTGGGTTCAACACACGGTGGGTTCAACACACGGTGGGTGGAACACACGGTGGGTTGAACACATGGTGGGTTGAACATAAGGTGGGTTGATCACACGGTGGGTGGAACACACAGTGGGTTGAACACACGGTGGGTTGAACACACGATAGGTTGAGCACACGGTGGGTTGAACACACGGTGCGTTGAACACACGGTGGGTGGAACACACGGTGGATTGAACACATGGTGGGTTGAACACACGGTGGGTTGATCACACCGTCGGTGGAACACACGGTTGGTTGAACACACGGTGGGTTGATCACACGGTGGGTTGATCACACGGTGGGTTGATCACACGGTGGGTTGAACACACGGTGGGTTGAACACACGGTGGGTTGAACACACGGTGGGTTGAACACACGGTGGGTTGAACACACGGTGGGTTGAACACACGGTGGGTTGAACACACGGTGGGTTGAACACACGGTGCGTTGAACACATGGTGGGTTGAACACACGGTGCATTGAACACACGGTGGGTTGAACACACGGTGGGTTGAACACACCGTGGGTTGATCACATGGTGGGTGGAACACACGGTGGGTTGAACACACGGTGGGTTGAACACACGATAGGTTGAACACACGGTGGGTTGAACACACAGTGGGTTGAACACACGGT